AAGTTGGTATTAAATGATGATTGGGCTAATTCAGTCCTATTCCGTTTTTTAGTACCCCAAACAAATATTGTATTGAATTCCATTGGATGTTTGTAGCAGTGTTGTCAGAATTGGATCGGATCAGTCGGTCGAACGAATTGGTTCAACTGTGAACCAGGACCTAAAATAGTACAGTTCTCTAGTTAGATCGTATAAGGAATCGAATAGTCTAGGAATCGCTAAACCGATCAGTTTTGGACCAAACTTGTAAATTTTAATTCTTGTATATATATAAAAAAATCTCTTTTAGGACCATTTTGCCTTTAAATAAATCGCAGACCAGTTTGCAATTCGCACTTCAATTCAGTGGCCACTCAGGCGACCATGACAGTGATGAACAACAACTCAGGGAGGCGACCACTCAGCAACTACTCCTCATCTTGAACCTCAATCTCTCTCACTCAAGCGACGAGCAGCTTCAAGCCTTAAACAGTTCAACTCGATTGATCTGACTCTCCTCTCCTCCCCTCCATTGTCTTTGCTTGTGTAACGGTAAGTGCAAGCATGTAACCTCTCTTTCTCTTTCACACACACACAATTGTTGGATCTTCTCTCTCTAAAATTTGGCTTACTCATGTGCCGTTGATTTCATTCAACTGATAATGCTTGATTTCATTCAAAATATAAGTAACAAGTTTGTTAAGTGAGATTGTGGGAATGTGAATTGATAATGTTTTTTAATATTTGTAATTTTTTTTTCTATTATATGATAGGTTTGACCAATTGACCTAACAGTTGAATCAGTGAACTATTGACCGGTCCAGTTCTGATAACATTGGTTAGTAATAGTCACTAATGTTTATTATGAGAACACTCAAATTGAAGTCAACAAAATTTATACCTGAACTCAGGTAGGTGGTGGTACCACAAAGCGGCTGTAAATTTAAGAGCAGCATGTCTAGAAACTATGAAAATGATTTAGCACAAAATTGCTCGACTTACTAATACTTGGGAAAACAAAAGATTGCATAATTTGATACAAATTTGTAGACATTTCTTTGGCACAATCAACATTGCTACAACGTATATCAGCTTCGTTAGTTTCTGAACTGACCTTCTGTGAAGTGCATCAATAACTCAAGTGTCTTGGAGAAGATTGCATCATCAAAAGAGTCGAAAGATATGTTGAGATCCTAAAGAAAGAAACTAAAGGAGGCAATAATTTACATTATGTTCTTGTACGGGTGGGTTTGTAACTATCAGGTGTAAACTCACATGTTTTAAGTTGGATGGTTTAACAGATACCATGTTTGTTAAAGTGATTGCGTACGCCCGAAGAAGGATGAACACATGACAGCTTACATATAATTCTTGTATAAACTATTACAAATTTTGAATAATAAATCCATAGCAGATGGAAAAAGCACCCATACTAGGGTGGAAAAAAACTTGAAAGACATCACAATTGAATCCCCAAAGAGAGGGAAATAAGAAATCAATCTTTGACTGACTTCAGAGAATTAAAGGTGATTAACTAGACTGGGTTCAATCGTGATAAGAAGAATGAAGAATACAATTTGACAAGAAGAGTATAGTTGTGTATCAATGACTGTCTTCACAATTCTAAAAGAAGTTCCTTTGATCTGTACACATAGTTGTTTGGTACAATGAATGAGGACAAATCTTCAGTAGGAAACTGAGTTATATCAGGCAAATTACATGAGCTGGTTTCTATAAATTGGAAGTCAAATTGCTACATATCAGGAAGGGCATATTCTATGCCACTAATTACGCCAATACTCCCCCTCAAGGTGGAGCGTGCACGTGAGTAACGACCAACTTGCTAATGAGATGATTGAAAGGTTCCTTGCCTAACGATTTGGTGAAGACATCTGCAATTTGCTCAGAGGATCGGATGTATCGAGGAATAATCAGATTGGATTGAATTTTTTCCCGAACAAAGTGACAATCAAGCTCAAAGTGCTTTGTTTGCTCATGGAATACAGGATTTTCAGCAATGTGAATGGTAGCTTGGTTATCACAGTAGACACCGATAGAAACCGATAGAGATCAGCAAGGAAATATTTTAACCATTGAATTTCTACAGTGAGAGTGGCCATGGCACGGTACTCCACTTTGGCAGAAGACCTAGAGACAGTGCTTTGTTTCTTGGTTTTCCATGAAATTGGAATGGAACCCAACATGGTACAATAACCAGTGGTAGATCGTCGAGTTGTAGGGCAGCCTGCCCAATCAGAGTCACAAAAACCACTTAAATGGAATGTACTAGAAGAAGAGAGCAGGATGCCTTTCCCAGGACTCCTTTTGAGATATCGAAGCACTCTTATAGCAGCGGTCATATGGCTGGTATGAGGAGAGTGCATGAATTGACTAAAAATGTGAATCGAATAGGCACTATCAGGCCTTGTAACAGTGAGGTAAATAAGACGACCCACAAGCCGAAGATAAGCAGAAGGATCAGACACAGGAGTCCCATCATCAAGCGTTAAATGGAGGTGTTGTTCCATGGGAAAGTCAACAGGTTTGGCACCAAGTAAGTTTGTGTCGATGAGAATATCCAATGTGTATTTGCGTAGGCATAGAAAAATGCCTTTGCAAGAACGGGCAACTTCAATACCAAGAAAATACTTTAGGGGACCAAGATGCTTGAGAAAGAATTTATTGGTAAGAAAGGTTTTGAGATGTTCTATAGCAACATCATCATTTCTAGTGACAATTATGTCATCAACATAAACCAGAACAAATGTAGAAGAATGCCCAATATGTCGCAAGAACAGTGAATAATCAGCCTTGGATTGAGAAAAACCAACTTGTTGAAGAGTATGAGAGAATTTGGCAAACCATTGGCGGGAGGCCTATTTCAAGCCATAGAGTGGTTTGTTTAATTTGCAAACACAGGCCTCCCCCTTTCGAGCGAACCCGGTTGGAAGTGTCATATAAACCTCTTCATGTAAATCACCATGTAGAAATGCATTGTTGACATCAAGTTGTTGAAGGACCAATTCTTGATGGAGGCAATAGAGAGAAGAGCTCTAACTGTGAAAAGTTTGGCGACGGGCGCAAGTATCATGATAGTCAAGCCCCTTAATTTGGGTAAAACCTTTTGCAACCAAATAGGTTTTATACCTGTCAACTGTGCCATCTGACTGATATTTAACTTTGTAAATCCACCTGCACCCAATGGGCTTTTTGTTGGGTGGAAGATGGGTAAGGCTCCAAGTATGATTCTTTTCAAGAGCGCTAATTTCAACAGCCATATCATTACGCCTATAAGGAATTTTCACAGCTTGAGTGAAGGACGTGGGCTCATCTATGGAAGAAATTGCAGAAAGAAAAGCTCGATGTCCATGGGAAAATTTAGCATATGAAAGATATTTGTGGAGGGGATAAAGAGTACCTATCCGTTCAGAGTCCGAGGAAGAGGGTGGTGTACCATTGGTGACTGCAGGACAGTGATAATCTTTGAGGTATGATGGTGGTGACGTTTCCAAATTGAAGGAATCGGAATAGGTGGTATAGCTGATGTATCTGAAGGAGGAATAGGTGAAGTAGGTGGATTTGATTGAACCAAGGTTAGCTAAATGGAAAATATTTGGGGGGCACATTGGTGTAGGATTTTTAGAAGCAAAGTCATAGTGTGGATTATCATCAATAGGCAAGGGAATGACAGGCAGGGGATTTGGTGATGAAGGAACATCTCGAAAAGGAAAAACAGTTTCATGAAAAATGACATCTTTTGACACATAAATGGTTTTGGTAGCAATGTCATAGATGCCATATTCTTTTTGAGCATATGGATAACCAACAAAAATACCCAGTTGTGCACGTTGATCACATTTATGCTTAATATGAGCATTGTGAGCAAAAGCCAAACAACCAAAAACACGAAGATGAGAGCAGGAAGGTGGGGTGTTGAAAAGAATTTCATGAGGTGATTTGCCATTGAGTAACGGCGAGGGAACCTTGTTAATTAAGTATGCAGCAGTGAGAATACATTCCCCCCAAAAGGTGAGAGGTAAGTGTGCTTGGAAGCTCAAAGCACGAGCAACATCCAAAAGAAGTATATGCTTGCGTTCTATGCCCCCGTTCTGCTAGGGTGTATCAATACAACTACGTTGATGGACAATACCATTTTCAGAAAAAAAATCTTGAATGTCGGTGGACAAAAAGTCAATACCATTATCAGAACATACTTGCTGAATTTCAGGCAGAAAAATAGCACCATTACTATAGTGGACATTTTCTATTTGATAATGATATTGTGTCTTGACCATGGCAAAGAAAGTTTTCAAATGAAATTTAGCATCAGATTTGAAGCGCATGAGAAAAATCCAAGTGCATCAAGAAAATCATCCACTATAGTAAGACAGAAACGTCATCCACACATAGATGGCTGATAAAAGCTACCCCAAATATCACAATGAACCAATTGAAAAGTTTTATTTGATGAAATGGAACTAGTTGGGAAACGTAAACGAGTTTGCTTGGCCTGAGGACAAACATTACACATAGTTTTCCAAACATGTAATTGAAGGACAATTCTTGGTCAATGTAGACAATCGACAAGATGATGGGTGTCCGAGCTGCCAATGCCAAATATCGATTGTGGGAGTACCAGTGACAAATTGTGCATAATGTGCTTGGAGGTAATAAAGTCCACCATGTACATGACCCACTTCAATCGTACTCTTCGTAGACAGGTCCTGAAAAACACACAGATTATTAAAGAAGATAATAGAACATTGGTGAGAGTGTGTGAGTTGATTGACTGATAAAAGATTAAATTGAAAGGATGGAATGTAATAAACATGATCAAGTTAGAGTTTTGAAGAGAGTTGCACAGTTCCAATATGGGTAACCACCACATTAGTCCCGTCAAGTAACTAGACATGAGCTACAGTGGTGCATGATGTATAGGATGAGAAAGGACACTGAAGAACACATATGATTGGTAGCACCTGTATCAATAATCCAAGTATTGGTTAACGGGGCTGAAAGGGTTATACCTTCCAGATTAGCATTGAGGCTGGGACTACCGATGAAAGCAAGGCCAGTGTATTGTTGTACTGTTCCTGAGTAATCAAGAGAGCAGATACTAGCGCTCGGTCCTTGGATGGCTTAAGTCCTGAAGAGGAGGAACCTGAATTTGATTTTTTGGAAGAATTCCGCGGTCTTTTAGTGGGATATTCATGCAATTTATAACAAACATCAATGGTATTTTTGTCTAAATTGCAGTAAGTGCAATGGAGGGGTGTCTTTCCTTTTTGACGATTTTCTCCACCAGTATTTTGCTGCCGAGTGAAAGATTGGCCTGAGTGGAAGCCCCTGTTATTGGTGGACATATTAGGATGTGTAGACCGATTTTCCAGTGGCATTGGTTAAGGTTGAATTGACTGTGAATGCATCGGCCTCTGGTTTGGTGACAGAAGAAGATGAAGAAAGTATTTCTTGTTGTTTTTTCTTCCTGTCTCACAAGGGAATAGATTTTGGTGGCATTCGGACAAGGATCCATCAGCAAAATTTGGCTTCAAAGTGTAGAATAATGCTCATGGAGTCCTTGGAGGAACTCCATGGCACGATCCTGTTGGAGGCGAGTGGCTATTGCTTTTCCATGGCCACATGTATAGAGTTCCACAACTGAGAATGAGTTGAGTTCATCCCATAGTGCCTTCATCTTTGTTAAGTAAGCAAAAACAGAGGAATGTTCTTGTGTGGTTTTAGCAGTAGATTGCTTCCATTGGTAGATTTTGGGTGCATTAGTTTGGGTAAATCGATCACAAAGATCGACCCATATTTCGCTAGGATTTCTGCATAGAGTATGCTTCCACGAATCTCACTTTCTGTGGAATTGAGGTTCCACGAACTTACTAGATCGCTGCATCGTTCCCATTGACGCAACTCATCAGTGTCCTTAGGTCATTCAATCGACCTATCAACGAAGCCAATCTTGTCTTTTGCACGAAGTGCCATAGTCATTGCACGAGACCATGTTCCATAGTTATATCCTTTGTAGGGTTGTCTGAGTGATGAATAAAGGAAGCATCTTTGTTCAATCCTTGGTAGTCATTTGAACTCAAATCTTCGCCATCTTCTTTCTCTGCCATGATTACAGAAAGTCAGATCGTTCACTGCTCTGATACCATGATAAGTAGAATGAAGAATACAATCTGATAAGAAGAGCAGAGTTGTGTGTCAATGGTTGTCTTCACAATTCTAAAAGAAGTTCCTTTGATCTGTACATATAGCTGTTTGGTACAATGAATGAGGACAAATCTTTAGTAGAAAACTGAGTGATATCAGGCAAATTACATGAGCTGGTTTTTATAAATTGGAAGTCAAATTGCTACATATTATGAGAGGAAGATTCTACGCCACTAATTACACCAATAAATCAGTTATGTAATTCCTATATTAAGATGTATTAAGTCAAATATCCTTATTTAGCAGAAGAAGAAAATCAAACACACTTGACATGGATCGAACACCAGGGTTGTCTACTTTCAAAACTTCTCTCTAAGTAAAATTAGTCTGATGATCTTTCTCGGAAAAATTGCGTGATGAACCAATCCTGTACGAATGGGTTCAATATTAAACTAATGATAAGGTCAAATTTTCTAAGACGCCTAAAACCCTAATTCTATCAATGAGCATGGTTAAGCGATAATTATGTGCATTTGAGTTTTGTATTGCAAATAGAGTACAAAGAATTTATATTACAACTAGAGTACAAAGAATCTATATTAATTGTTGTTATTCAAAAAGGAAAAAAACCATAATATACACGGAATTTGTATTAATTAATGTAAATTGTGAATCATGATAATGACCCCTTGTTTTCTGACTATAAGAATGTAGTACGCTATCTCAATCTCTGATGTACACAAGCAATAGAAAGACGATACGTTAAAAAGTGTATTGAGATGAGGATGACTACCACATATATATAAGATTTTATCTCCTAGTCATCCGTCCATCAAATAAGTCTTAGGGGAGTGGTAGACTTCCACTTCTTATTTTCAGGGAAACCATACCCCACACATAACTGATTAAGTTATACAATCCTAATTGATTCAGGCAACCTTTAACCCATGATTAAAATATCACATGTGTAGGACCAATATGAATGTTTTATTAAAATAATAAAAACGTTCTAACAATCTCCCACTTGGTCCACACATGTAAAGTTACAATTTTTGAAAACGACACACATGGTTTAAATATATTTAAAATCGAGTGGCCGATCTTTAATTTTTTTTTGAAAAATAATTGCCTAAACAACTTTGATATTGCCTTAATAATTTTCACCCAATACTTAAAACAACTGTGACGCCCCAAAATTAGGGTGTCCATAATTATCCTGTGGATCACCCATCAACCTGCAGAATACTAGTGTATACTGCGTAATTCGATACCACACTGTCATGCCGCATTTATTGGGATTTATAACTTAAACAAAATTCGGACATATTTTTTTTTATACGGGAAGCTTTACCCAAAATACAACCTGTACAATCATACAACATTGACCACACCGAGTCCATTCATCCATATTCAATTGCATAGTATTAGATACTACCATAATCATTATCTCTACGTACATTCATTCATAAAAGAATAAATGTCACAAAAGAGTCTCATATACATGCCTTTCTAATATAAAACAAGTTTTTGTTTACTAAAATTATACAAGGTCAAAAGTAAACATATACAAGAGACTATAATGTCAAAATAAGAGCCACAGATCAGCTCTGTCGTCAAAGCGGCCCCTGGCCTTGCCTTCGGTGGAAGCCTGTGCGATACCTGAAAAATGTTCTGATAAAAAGTGAGTCAACACTTAATAGGGTAACTCCTATAGAAAATACTTTTCAACCCAAATGCATATGAAATGTCACATGCAATAATCATTTCATGCATTCATTCAAATATATGTATTATAAACAAATGTCATAAATCATGACATGCCATGAGATGAGACTCATGTAAGCAATACCAACACCGAGCCCCATCTCGGGCTTCCACAATATATGCAATGTCATGTATATGTATCTGAGTATTCCAAGCCCCCGTCATTGGTGTTATGTACATTCAATGACTAATTAATTCATTTTCTCATGTCATTGTGGAGCGATGATTTATGGTATTTCACCAATGGGATACCACACCATTAACGGATTTTTAGGACATCCCACATGCGACTCCGTTTTCGCCGTTACACTTTTTTGGAATTGTACTGCCGGAATGTGTATAAACTAAGTAACCGGGTCTTGCACCTGATGGAGAATCTATCCTTTTTTGTTACACCCTGACATGTTTATCCATCTAATTTTTCATGCGACTTAGCTGGACCTTGGTGTGTCTTTTCTGAGCCCACAATCAACCCACTTATGTAATGATTGATTTAATACTATTCACACACTCCCACCCATGTCAATGCCTATGAATGTAGTGTAATTCATGCATAATGCAATACAATGCGCAATTTCATTCGATACCATTTACAATATATATTATATAAATAATACAATATAATGATATTTTTAACACCATCCCAAGCATGTTACGTAAGATAATAAACTCAACTACAAACTTGTATTCGCCTAGGCATTTAAACAAACACCTAGAGAGCACATTAATTTACACAACCAGCGTGCTCATCACTTACAACATGACAACATGTTTATTAATTCTATAAACATAAACACAAGTCCACCACACTAATCATATGTTAAATAATCATTTAATATATATATTATTTCATAATCACATAACAAACTATTAATTTTGTTAAACTTGATATGCCATTAAAACATCAAGTTATACTAATGTACAATTAATATACTTTAAAATACTAACATTAACTAATACCAAGTTAATCATAATATAATTTTACTAATTACAAGGTTAATTATAAATCCTATATTTGACCCACTAGTTACACTAGTCAAGAGCTAACATGTGATATAAACCTTTAGCCTACTCATATGTCATCTTTTAGATTGAAATTACATCTACATGAGGGAAATCCTACCTCTTGTAACGTAAGCCCACGTAGTAGAAATCTCAAACACCCTAAATCAAGTCGTCCAAGTCTTAGTCCTATATTATCTTCTTTGAGATTTTTGGAGAAAAGCGCGATCTTTGGGATCATTGTGTAGCTCGTGTTGCGTGGAACAACTTTAATTCTTGGCCTGAAATGATCCAACGGTTTGATCTTCATAGATCTAAGGAAGAAGATCAAGAAAATAAATTTTACCTATTCCCCCCCTTTTTTTCTCTCTTTTCTCTCTTACTGTTGAGACTTGTAGTCAAGAATGAGTGGAAGACTTTTTATATACCTTTGAATGCTTGGCCCATATCGCACCACACGTTCAATTTTAATGGGTCCAATTTTATTCTGAATCAATTAAAGCTCGACTCGTGTTAAGTTTATTTTTATTCAACTAAATTTAAATTATTTTTTGGGTTTTATGCATAAATTTTGATCGCATCGTAACACGTGAAAAATCTAACTGTCTCAGAATTCTATAAAACTTGACTGGGTAGCTAATTTTTGTAAGACGAATCCAACAGTGAGGTCCGTTTCATCATCTTAATTATATAAAAATTTATGTTTTTGACCTTGCTTTAACAACTAATTACTGTTTTACCCCCTTTAATTAAGATTCTAATTTTTCTTTGGTTTTACAACATTAGGATGGATCATGATTTTTTGAGTTCTATTAATTGACTCCAAGATAGTTCCATGGTCTCAAAGCTAATGTCATTAGCAGAATTGTGAGTTTAACATTATGTGGTTTTTAATAAAGAATTGGATAATAAAGAAATGTATACATCTTATGCAATCAAAATCATACATTTCATATATCCATCATACTTCACACTTATGGTATGTCATCCTGGTATATTACAAAATACCACTATGTGAAAACATCCCCAACCTATCAGAATGAAGGTTTACCGATAAGTTGTCTAATCATATCTCACCCAAGCATACCTCATGAATATATCACATATTCCCAGTGTCATGGAGTAACTACTCGTTTTTCTTTTAAGGCTACCCGTGAAGGCGTTGCTACTGCAACCAGCCACACAAACTCAAGTATAGGGACACACAAACTCACACAAAGGTAACACACGAATTTACTGGGACAACACTCTCAAACCGTATGTATTAAAGCTCTCTACAATTTACAGGAACTCAAATCAATATCATTCTTTGTCTCACAAGGATGCCCAAGCACCCCTATTTATACAAGGAGCTTGGCAGATGACACTCCCATATGCTAAGGGGCTGTTACACATAATCTATCTATTCTCTAGTAGACTTGGTCAGTAAGACTGGGTCTCTGTGCAACATCTGGCAAGCAGTTCCACC